TTTTATGCAAGGCCAGAATATACCGACAGTCAGCTTCTATACGAAGTAGTAGTCGAGGACCGTCAACAAATACATGCCATTCATATTTATATACATTTTCATCCAAAATCAAGAATATCATTTATTTGTTAAACACCAAAATAAAAATCTTTGAATTTTAGTTAACTGATTACTATTGAAAATATCATCACTTTCAACTTCTTAAAGGACCTCAGCAACAGATATTCAATTATAGTTCTTTAAAACTGATGAATATTATTGTCACAGTTTAATGAAATTAGAAAAGAGTTGTCTATAACATTTAATTTTATGGTAACCAATGGGGCTGTATGGACCAATGGGAATCCATTCCAATGCGATTTATTTTGGTTCTATCACCTTGAATAGGTTTTCGAAATTTCATGGCCGATGAAGAAGCAAACCTAAATAAATCTTTTATTTAATTTATCAATGTAAGGCAGGTCTCCTAATGATACGTTCCACCTTACGTTTGTTTTTTCTTTGGTCAAAAAGCGTTGATACATTAAGATAATCGTGTAGTGGTGCCTAGGAGCAGTCTTATAAATAAAATTTGATTATATAATGACAATAATTTTTTATTTAAATATTCAATATCTAAAAAAATTAGGCATCACACAACTTGAATACTGTTCTCAACGCTTTTTCCTGATCTGTAAACAATGAACAAACTTCTTTCATATATTAGTCAAAATATTGCTCAGCATTTCCTAGATAAATTTTAACTAAAACATTACTGTATTTTCAAAGTATCCTTCCCCACCCCTCTCAAGAAAAAAATAAAACAAAATAAACTGTACTCATCCTAAAAGAAACACTTAAGCAATAATCTTATGCCACTAATGTTCCTTTAATCAAAACATCATCCAAATCATAAAAAAATGTGTTGTAAATATATTCAAAATTCTATTGAAACCAGAATAACTCAACTAAATAAACTTAAGTAATAAAGAATACGATAAAAGGATATTCATTCATAAAATGATATATTGAATATTGATGTAACTTTACGGCCTCAAACACGGCAAACGTTTTGAGCAGCCACACTAATCGGTCCAAATAGATTACTGAATTCTACAAACAATTAAAATTCTTTTAGATATTATCCCACAATATTTTAATTTAAAATAAGAAATAATAAACAATATACTGCACCCTTTCTCAAACAATCCCGTAAGCAATAAACTTATGCAAACATTGTACATTTAAATAAGAATATCATACAAATTAGAAACAATTTTTTGTTTTAATTAGCAGAATGGGTATAGTTTGTCATCAGGATCATTCAACTGAATAAGGATTGTTAAACACCGTACTGTAACACTAAACCTTGTTGTATCCATATTCAAATATTAAAATTGGTTGTTAGTAATTATGATAATAGGACTTTTTTTCTAAATTATCTCATTAAATCTGATTATAATTATATTTTAAACATGCCGGGTTTAAAAATAAATCAATATTTTGAAAACATATTAAACATCAAACACCATGGACAAAAAAAATTACTAATAATAATTGGTGTAGTTTTGTTTTATTCCTATTTTAATATTTTACAGTTACTCAGCTATTTTATCTAGGCATAAGGCATGTTCATTGCATGATTAATAATTTTTAAAAAAGTCTAATAAATATATATAAATAAATGACGACAAATAAAAGAAAAAATAACTAACATTTAAAAACTGTTTTAACGTATTTTTAAAAATAAATAATTTAACACATGTGATCGAATGAAAAATAACAATTTTATTTATTTATTTTTTTATTACATTCAAATGTAAACCTATTTGACGAAACAATACTATGTTTCGCTATCAATACTGAGAAAAAAAACCCAACCGATTTTTGGTCTCAGACTGTTAAGTGAGCAATGCCGAATTATTAGGAACTAGGTTTCTCTTTCCTGGGTAATAATAAAAGAATTCTAGAGATTTTTAGATATTAAATCAAAATATATAATTAAAAAAAAAAATAACTATTCATCCACATACTACAAGGACATAAAAAAAAAATTATATATATATATATATATATATATATATATATATATCCTTTTTTTTTTCTTCTGGCAACACAATCTTTCAGGGCTAATGCTAGGAGTTTCCTAGGGTCCTTACAGCTTCAGCTACTTCCTGAGCAAGTACTCTGCTAGGTTTTTAGCGGTTGTACCAAAATAAACATACATAAATATAAATATAAATATAAAATAAAGATACATAAATATACATTTATGTGTATATATATATATATATATATATTTTTTTTTTTTTTTTATTTTTTTTTTTTTTTTATGCGCGCGTGTGTGTGTATATGTGGCGTTATTTTCAGGAGCTGAATATTGTTATCTTATTGTTTAAATTTCACTCCTTTGTTATCCACTTCAGTCTTTATTCTTTTTTATTATCATCAAGTGCTTTAGTATAAACTCTAGGAAGCTTAATGTATCTGTAAAAATTGTTCTCATATTGGTATTTCCCGCCTTTTTACATTAATTTAATTTAACGTTCTGTTTTTCATAATTTTTTTTTTATTTAATGTTACTTTTCTTTCATAAATTGGCAAAATATTGGCAAAAACTATTTTGATCGAAATAAAATCATAATTTTGTATCAACGAGGAATTTCAATTAGAGAAGGTCAAAAAGAAGTTGAAGGTTTTATTTTTGGAATTCAATATACCATCAACTATTTTTTATAAAAACAATCAAAATGAAGACCTAAAACGTTGAGACAGAACCCTGCTGCTTAACAACAATTAAAATTATTTATTTTGGTACAACCGCTAAAAACTTAGCAGAGAACTTGCTCAGGAAGTAGCCGATGCTATAAGGACCTTTGAAAACTCCTACCATTAGTCCTGAAAGGTTGTGTTGCTAGAAGAAAACTATTTCTTTAGTTTCTTAACAAGCGAAGGCGACTTGATTTTGCCACAGAACACGAAAATTGCACAGAAGAAGAATTGAATAAATTTTTAAAGAGAGATGGGTCAAAATTGGAAAAGCTTATTAAATAGAAACTAAAATAAACTATGAAATATGGAATCTGAAATTAAATATTCGAAGAAAAAAAAAGAGGAGAATTCCAATATTAGAACAACTTTACAGATACATGCAGCTTCCTATAATTTATAAAAAGTTGTTTATGTTAACAGTAAAGAATAAAGACTGAAGTGGATAACAAAGCAATGAAACTTAAGTTATAAGGTAGCAATAAAAACAACATCAACGTAACGGATTGTTTCATTGTTGTTAATTGAAAATAATGCCAATTTAGATATCTATTATATCTACAATGTCTGCAAGCTTAAATTAGTTAACAATTAAGAAGTTATAAACACTTTTAAATTGAAACATTTATCATTTTTATAAAACTTTAAATTGTTTGAAAAGTTTTTCGCAACAGTGTATATTAATAATTATGCCTACAAGCATGGAGCACAAGATGAACGTATAAAAACAAATGATATTCCTGTATAAATAAAAAAAGGATATAATATAAATTATATGATTGATAGGAAATGGTTTACCTACGTCTATTTTTAGTACAATATACAGCCATCAGAACAGGAAAAAAAATTAGTTCGATTTAAGAAAACTTTGTTTTGTTCTGAGAAATTATAACGTTAATTTATTAAGTATGATAAGTAGATAAATTAAATAAGAAAAAATTATTTATTTTAAGTCTTTCAATCAATAGCTATATATGGGGTCCTAATACATCTGTTTTATACATGTGTATATATATTCTGAGAATCCCTCATCTTCTATAAAAACAGATTGACAGCGAATCATGAAGATGCGGTGTCTGTTTCAATCACTGTATTGGATGGGAAACAGCGAACAAAATGTCGTGTCAACAATTCCTTACTCTACAAAATTCATAAGAAGAGGGATTGAGGAAGGACCTCCAAAAGTACAAACAAACAAAAAAAAAAAAAAGAAAAGCTTTATTACATTTGGGTGTGCAAATACACACGTTTGTAGCCAGTTTATATCCAGAAGTTTTCTCGTTGACTGTAATAATAACAAACTATTTGTTACCAACAGCCAAAAAATACAGCAAGGAGAGTTAGTTCCACAGATTTAAACTTTTATAAAAAATTCCATTTTAACAATTTATGTGAATTTCGTTAGAAAGAAATGTGTTAAAACAAAATTTCGAAGGAACTATTTTCTAATAAAATACCAAGTATATAGTAAAAGTTTGACTGTTATTTATTCAAGTTCTGAAAAGAAGTTCCATTAAATGAAAAATAAACAGTAATTGGGCTTAGATAAGGGTTATAGTTTGTCCTGAATGAATTGTATCTCATTCTAATGTGTCATTTGCTTGAGTAGCTAAGAATGAAGTAATTTTTTACATCGACTTTATAGCGAAATCGAAATAACTTTTAAATAAACGTTTTTTGATTTTTTTTTAAATAAAGGTTCTGTAAAACCTTTATTTAAAAGTTGCAAGGGGAAAAATAAAACCATCAACAAAAAACATTTCAGTGATACCGAAACTTTTTAAAAATAAAAGTTTTTTTTCCGTTTCAAGCCCTTTTTACGAGTACATCACTCCATTGCATCAAAACGCGTTTTCTTTTAGTTTTTATTGCCTATATTTATTTCAGTACTTAATTCGTTTGGAAATTTCCAATTATATCCTAACAATTGATGGATATATAATTATAATCACATAAAACATTTTACTAAATTCGAAAATTGAAATTTGACATTCGAAAATATCAAAGCTGCATGCACCTAACTGAAAAGTAATAGGGAGAGATCTAGAAGGCTGAATAAGGTGGCAAAATATCTTTAAGTTCTGTTAAAACATCAAAAAAGGTATATATTTTATTTACACTAGTCAGTTTAAATTCGGGAGCAAATTGAAAATTTATTATTTTCATTACTCATTCCATTATGGATAAAATTCTAATAGTTTAATTTTAAGGAAATTTCCATTCCTCTCATTTAGATTCTATTCATTACTCACCAGCATTGGCGACGAAAGACAATCCGAGGAGTAAAAAGCGCAGCATACCTGGCGGTGGGCAAAAGCGATCTGCCGGCTCAACGCACCCCACCAGCCCGCCCCAAGGGCGATCCCCCCTAGCCAATAACCCAATTATCTAATAGTAGGAATAACAAACAATATAATTATGCCTACAGGTCTCGAATCTTCCACAGCGCCTACCAATAAGAACATGCTTTGAAATATTAATTTCTGTATAGATAACATAGAAAAAAAGTTATAATGTAAATTAATTAATTAATGAAAAGAAAATGTTGTACTCATGTCTATTTGTACAATATACAACCATCAAAGCTTCAGAAAAAAAAAAATCGAATTTTTTTTTCAGATGTTACGTTGATTCATGTGAAGTTGTATTAAGATAGTTTAATATCTATATGTATATTGGATTTTCCGGCAAATTATGAAGAATTTCACATTTTCTTTATTAATCCTCTTTCAAAAAAGAATCATTTTTACCTTCTGTAGCATTTCAGTATTTAAAAATAATTCAGTCACCACTATGAAGTCAAAGCGTGACTTTCGCATAATTTCGTTTTAAAAGTGTCAAACCCCCAAACCGCCAGAAATATTAATGAAGTGTGGAGCGATGGCAGTAGGAGAGAGTGCCCCGCGTTCAACGATGGTTTGAACAATTTCGAGTGGGAGACTTCAGTCTTCAAGACAAAGATTGTGGAAAGACTTCTTCCCTTGATGACGATGTTATTCAAGGTTTAGTTCTTCAAAAAATTCTTCGTTATGAAGTTTCGATGCAGTTGTTTCCCGAAACAGGAACAAACATTTCTCGCTCACCTACCGACTACTACTTTTTAGGCCCCTGGACCACATCTTAAAACATAAAACTATTATTAATCAAAACTTGTTAGAAAATGCATTTTTATAATTTGTAATAACTATTCAACATTCCATTTAAAGGGAGTGGAAAAGTTGCCAACACGTTAGCAGAAATGAATTGATAATAATGAGGCTTATTTTGACTAATAAAAATAGTTCTGTATTATTTATTTTATTAGTTTTATTTTTAAAACCATACATACCATTTTCAGGCAACCCAATAGTTGAGTAATCTAGAAGTCTATTATTCTTATCAGATGAATTCCCAGATTCAATAGGACCATTATAATAGTATTCGATAACATTACATTGAAAGATTTATTAAGTACATTAATTAAATATACAGGGTGTTTCATGGTTAAGTGGCCAAACTGAAAAAAAAATCCTATGAAGGTATGTCCGCAAAGTAGGAGATATTCATACACATAATGATTTTCATTGTTATGAATTATTTACGTTATATTAAGTAAAGAAAACTTATTTATTTCTTCCAACTAATTTATTAATTAAACGTAAATATTAAATTCATATTTAAATGTTGTTCAAAGTGATTTCCTTGAGCATTAAGACAGGCTCGGCATGAATGCTTTCTTCAACAGCAGCAGTGGCAGAACGGCAGTGGATTTGTGTTATTGCTTCACAAGATTCAATTATCCTTCTTCGTAAGGAAATAAGGTCATTGACTGGATTTGCATAGACTTTTTGTTTAATGTCAGCCCAAACAAAAAAATCCATTGGTGTCAGGTCTGGAGAGCGTGCAGGCCAAGCCACTGGTCCTGCTCGGCCGATCCATTGATTGGGATAATTAACATTTAGCCATTTTCGTGGACCTGTTATTGTTAATGTTTACATTTAATTAATAAAGTAGTTAGAACAAATAAATAGGCTTTATTTATTTCATAAAACGTAAATAATTCATAACAACGAAAATTTGTAGGTGTGAATATCTCCTAAACAATGCATTTGCGAACATACCTTCAGGGGAAATGTTTTCTTGTCTTGAGGTCCTTAGTTCATTTGTACAGTTTGGCCACAGTTAAATCTGTATATACAGGAGTCGGGAATAAAGGGCCAAACTCCAGGAATGAATTGCACCTAGCGAAATAATATAAAAAATCATTTGTAGTTATCCGAATGTCATTTGTTTAAATTTTAGAAGCCGAAAATGTTTGACTTCGATAACCGAAATGCTAATACATATGTGAAATATTGTTATTGACATGGCAACTAACAGATCGATAAAACATTTTCATTTATTAAGGAAGGAGATGGTCCGGGGTTGCGGTCGTAAATAGGCTAAATAGTGGTAAAACTATTTTATTGAAAGCCAACGTTTCGACCCGACTTTACAGGTCTTCATCAGGGAGGTGTGTTCATCTAGGAGTTTCACTTAGAACTGAAAGTTGAACTGAAAACAGCTCCCTGATGAAGACCTGCAAAGTCGGGTCGGAACGTTGGCTTTCAATAAAATAGTTTTACCAGTATTTAGCCTATTTATGACCGCAACCCCGGACCATCTCCTTCCTTTATAATGCAACGGTCAACTATTAAATATTCAATTTTCATTTATTATTTTTTAAATTATTGTTTGTTTGCTACATCCGCCTAATATTAACATTTATTTTACAGTATAATTTAAGTATTTTTTAAAGTTAAAAATATTGATACTTTGTAGCATATCTATATAAATTAATCTTAAAACAAGTGCGAAAATAATGAACTTTTAACTTTTCAATTCTAAATAAAAATAGTTAGGATTAATTAGGTTTAATTTACAATAGTAAAATTGGGTGTAGGTTAAGAAATTACTTAGGATTGACTGGATAAAAGAAATATCAAAAAAATTAAAATTTAATATTTAATATAATGAAATTTAATGGTTATATATAATTATCAACAGCTAAATTCAAAAATAAAAATGTATACTCATTTGCAAATGACGTGCATTAACAGATTATGAAATTGTGACAATATTTTTCAAATTGAATCCTGTCGATTGTTTACACTCATAAGAGGCTAATTCTTTTGAAATAAATTATGTAAACATTTAAAAAAGAGGAGATTATCCTCAGTTTAGTTCGTTTAAAGATTGTCCGGGCTCGAAGGAATCGCTTCAACTTTGCTTTCTTTGTCCTGATGATTTGTTTTCTGCATCTGATGTGTAAATTAGCCTTCGCACAGTTAGAAGGAGGATGATGGACCATGGATTATTCCGGGAAAAACCTTCACGCTTTCCAGGACTCACCACGCAACATGAAGCTCAGAGACTTCAATCCGCTCGGATTCCCATATCATGGAATGATTTGTGGTGGTACACACTCGAGCTCTCGGACAGAACTTGCGGTGTTACAAAATGAGACTATGAATGCTCAGCGTTACTTGGACATGGTTTTAACACCAATAGTGCAGTGGCAGAAGCAGTTGGTCCAGAATTCGTTTTTGTGGACGAGAACATTAGACCTCATAGAATTCAACATACATTCTTTTAAAATCAAGAAATTCGCCACCTGGATTGGCCTGCCTCGTCGTCTTCAAGCAGTATATTAACGTTCGAGGTGGACCAATAAGGTACTAAAACAAAAAAATTAATAAAGTATTTTAAATTTTTAAATTTACTTAATTTATCTTTTAATTTCTAAAAAACACGTCAACAGTTTTCACATAGCAAATTTTCATAACTTATTTCTTCTAAACATGTAAAAATAAATTACCTATCAAAAATTAAAATTCTTAAATGAGAATTACGGGTTTTTCATCTCATTTTTAATAATTCGCTTCATTGGAAAATGAGTATATCTATTTGATGTTTTTCAATCAAAATTATAAATATACTTTCTATATAGTAACTTGATGTATTTTTTTCAAAAGTCGCTTTAGAGTGAGTAGCATAAATTTTATTGCTATTCATTTAAATATTATATATAACGTCAAGGGCATTAAGGACAATTTTAAAAATGAATGCACATCTTTACTTCATTCTTGGAACTGAAAAATGTTGTATATAATTGCATTGAAAACCGGAATATCCAAACAAGAAATTAAATGATTCACTTAGAAATGATTTATAAATGATTCACTTCAGTTCTAAGTGAAACTCCTAGTTGAACACACCTCCCTGAAGAAGACCTGCAAAGAAACGTTGGTTTTTAATAAAATAGTTTTGCCACTATTTTGCTTATTTATGACCGCCACCCCGGGCCATCTTCCTTTAAGAAATTAAATAATTTCAACTATTAAATAATTTACAAAATGTGTACCGTAATTGCACATCCCTTGATTTAGTTATAGAATGTGATGAGGAATGGCGAAGTCAACTGGCTTTCATATAATAAATCTTTGTTTTATTTCTTTAAAAAGAAAAATAAGTTTATAAATATATCAGTATGAATATGAAATAAATAATTTTTAATATGATAAAAATAAAATGTTTTGTATTTAATTGAAATAAATATCAGCTGAAATGTTTTATAACGATCAAATAGTATACACTTAACTAATCAAATAGAATAGATACAACTACTGCTGATTCTGCCCAGAAAATTAGAAGGATGAGGCACTTAATAATCTGTTTGTTTTTCACATTCAGTGTGTTGGCCTCGAGGTAGAATATTTGTTTCTCCGCTAATGGAAAGGAAAGCGACTCAAATGTACGCAACTATGATGCTTTCATTATTACATTATTTGCAACTACAAACGCTCAAAACATAGGTTATTTTTGTCGCGGTAGTCAACATAAATAAGTAGTTAGTAAAGGATAATTTATATTTTATATTGGATAAGACATTGTATTAAGATAGATTTTATTTTCACTTATCTAATGGAAACCGCTATTAGACAATGGTTATGATTTCTCAAAATATTATTTCAAATTTCAAACGACTTTTTTTTTTATAAAACATGACACAAGGGCAATAGGTATTAAGGCTGTAAATATCTATTCATACAATATATAAACAATAAAGAAAATAAATGGTGTTAGTAATAAGGTAAATAAATAGAGAACATTCAAACTAAAAAATATCGGATGTGTCTACCCACACGATTTTCCGTATTGGTGCTATGCCCAATCCTAAAATTGCTATATTTTCGCCAACTTAGGTAAGATTAATCATTTATTATTTTTGATTTTATATTTCCTTTAAAATTTATCTTTGTAAACAATTTAATCATAGGTCAATAAAG